CCATCCACCCATCCAACCACCTTTCCATTCATTCATCCACCCACATATCCATCCACCCACTCATTCACTCATCTATCCACTTCTCAGGCTGCTCCTCTAAAGCAATCTGAAATCCTCTTTCTCCCTCCCCTTCACTGGTCTCCAGCTCTAGCTGACCTCTGAAAACCCTGAAACCTTGCTGATCCCCAGTTTATAGAGAGGGAAACAGGCACAGAGAAGCAATGAAGTTGCCCAAGATCATGCAACAGCAGAGCTGGGATTAGGATCCAAAGCCAGTTATTCTCAGGGGACAGGGCCCCTTCCCATTCCAGTCCACAAGATGGAGAGAGAGAGCATATATATTACATAAGCTAGATACATAATACTATATTGTGTGTATCTAATATGTATACACTTGCTCCTTATCCCTTCCTTTGCTATTTCTCATTGAACTCTGGAAGTGGGAAAGATTCAAAGGTTCAGCCCACTCCATGAAAGACAAAATCAAGACCAGAGGGGAGATGCCCAAATCTGATCCCTATGATTACAGATCTCACATTTGACAGAGGGCAAGAGTGAGGTACAGAGGTACGGAACCAACCCTGGAACTGGGGTCCACAGCCCTACACACACACACACACACACACACACACACACACACACACAGCCCCCTCCCCAGCAAGAAGAGCTGCAGTGCCAGGATAGAGGACTCACCACCCTGCCTGGGGAGCAGGAGGAAAAGGGAGGGGGATCAGTCTGGCTACTTGTTGCCCCACTGGGTCCATGCAGAGCTTCTGTGCTGCCGGCGAGGCCCCAGCCACCCCGTCCTCACCCAGGAACACGTTGAAGCTGAGCAAGAAAGAAGACTAAAAAGATTAAAGAAAAAAAAAGAGTTAGGCGTCATCGCCCCTCCCAGTGCAAGTCAAAGTGAAAGAGAAACCCAGGAAGTCAGCTTGGTGGTGGTGGTGGCCTCATCCAGGCTGCAAATCCACCCGGGGGGCCAGTGGGACCCTGAGCTCCGGGCCTGGGTGGGGTGGGGGCGGGTCCTGCTCTGCTGGCCCCAGATCCAAATGGGACACTGAGTGCGAGCCCCATGAGTGGCTTGGGGCTCTGTGCTGTTGGCCAGGTCTCAATCTTTTATGACCCACTTCTGAGACTCAGGAGCTGCATGGGAGGCCAGGGTCTTTGAACGTCTGAGTTCACTCTTACAACAGACCATTGTGAAGTGCTTGCTGTATACTGGGTTCCTCCCAAAATGTCCACCTCCCCATTTCCCAAACTTCAGCCCGAGGGCACCCTGGGTCCCAGCTCCTGAGGAATGTATTTCGCTGCTTCCTTTGGACCCAACTGAGTTTTTTCTCTGTGTCTGTTTCTCAGAGGTGGGTGGGTAGATGGGAGGGTCTCATTTTCTGATCCTCTCTCCCCACTGTCAACAAAGCCCCAAAATGTCCATGGAGAAGATCTGAGACATGCTACAGAGTGGATGGACCCCAGAAACGTCAGGCTGAGTGGAAGAAGCCAGACACAGCAGCCCCCATGTTCTATGATTCCAAGTATATGAAATGACAGGACCAGGCCAATCCATAGAGACAGAAGGTAGATTAGCGGTTGCCAGGGCCTGAGGGAGTGGGATGGGGAGTGACGGCTTATGGGGCTATGGTTGCCTTTTGAGGGTGATGAAAATGCTCTGGAACTAGAGAGAGGTGATGGTTGTACTACATACTAAATGTTCTAAATGCCACTGAATGCCTACTTTTAAATGGTTAATTTTGTGTTATGTGATTTTCACCTAAAAAAAAAAAATGTTCACAGAGCCCAGGTAGACAAGAAGCAGGGTAAGTATGTCTCCTGAGGAAAAGCATCTGAGGAAACTGACCAATGTGGGGGACGGGGCAGGGGGAGGAAGTCCCTCCTCTGAGAGCTGGTCCTCAGGGGCAGCCAGGCTGGCCAGGGTCAGGCGCCCAGCAGGCCATGAAGTCAGAGCCACGAGAACAAAGAGGCAGTGTTCCAGGCCTGGCACAGTGGGGACAGGGACCCTGTGACCTTGCACAGAGCAGCCTTCACCAGCAGCAGGGCCTAGGCCAGGCCAAGGGGTGGTGTGGGTTTGAGGCTGGGGGAGGAGCAGAGACAGAGAGAGGCAGAGACACAAAAAAGAAGAGAAACAAAGAAAGATGGAAGCGATTGTTGGAGATGTGCAAACCTATGACCTGCCGCATCGCGATGATCCTGATACCCCTTACCCTAGGTGCCCCATTTTACAGATACAGAAACTGACCCCAGGAACACCCAGACCACTCAGGGCCCAGGGCAGGGGTGAAGATGTGGATTCAAACCCTGAGACAGAGCTTCTCACAGTGGGGCTGAACTTTGCACCTTTGGGAGTAAGGGCCATGCCCCCAGGCTTCCTCCAAATTTCCACCTCCATCAAAGTTGGCCCTCCCAGGCCTCAGCTTCCCCATCTGCAAAATGGGCTGTAGTGAGGATAAGATGGATTATGCCCATCAGGCAGCCAGTACAATTAGTCACTGTTTTGGTGTTGCTAGTGGCCTCTGCTTTGTCACACCTCTTCCCCGTCCCTTCAAAGTTAGAGCAGCCACTGGAAAAATATCAAGGAGGGTGGGGCAGAGCTGACCAGATGCTCCCTGCTCTTTGGGGTCAGGGGCTGGTGGCAAGGAGGGAGACAGAAGCTAGAGGGGCTCTGAGGGGGACCAGAGAAGGCTGCCCAGAGAAGCCTTTGAGCTGGCTTTCTTGAACTGGCTTTGTAGAATTTAAAGGCATTCCTGGCAGAGGTCACAGCAGAGGCAAAAGTTCAGTGGACATGCTTCGGTGATGAACATGGTGAGTCCGGGGCTCCATGGGAGAGATAAAGATAGTGGGGTGGACCAGGGCCTTCAGTGCTGGGCTGAAGGGCTGGACTTTTTCCCGAGGGCACTGGGGAGCCATGGCAGGTGCATGAGCAGGATTCTAGCCAGATGTGAGGTGGTGGTGCAAATCTTACTGAGGTCATAGCCCGAGGCTCACCCTGATGTTTACCACAGCCCACCTTCTGTCAAATCTCTCTTGGCCTGCCTGCTGCCTACTCCAGGAAGTCCTCTCAGCTGCCGCAGAAGCACAGCTGGGATATGTCCCCAGGGCTGTCCCACTTTCAGATGCCTCACAAACTGGGGGGAAGGGGAGGCAGGAAGGATAGGGTTATAGGCCCCCCCTCCCCAGGAAATGGTAACAGAGAAACCACGGAATTTCCCCACTCCCTCAGCTTCCACCTTCTGTGAAGGGGTGGGGAGCGACCTTCAGCCCAAGAAGGGTTGAGTATCCCTCCAAGTGGTCAAGAGACCCTGATGCCCATGAGGGGCATCTAAGGAAGATTTTGAAGGATGAGTAGGAGTTGGCAAGGAGAAAAATCCATTGGTTCATTTAACAAATACATTTATAGGCATCATTAACTAACAAGATCATTTTTCATTCACTCAACCAGGACTTTCTTATGCCTTCAGAGGATGATTTGAGGATATTTTAAAGAATATATAATGGTGATCATTTAAGGTATAGAAATATTGAATCGATATATTGTGCACCTGGACTAAATAGTGTTGTTGGCCAATTACAATTCAGTTTAAAAAAGAATACATAGGTTACCAAGAAAAGAATTCATTTATTCATGCAACAATCACACTCCCTGATGTCCCTCATAGAGACATTTGAGGAGGGTTTTCATGGATGTGTAGAAGTTCACAAGAAAAGAAAAATCTATTTGTTCATTCAGTGAATGTTCTCTGATGCTTCTTAAAGAAAATTTTGAAGGATAGATGTTCATCATGGGAAAATTGCATTCATTCATTCATTTATTCAGTCAATAAATGCTCCCCATTGCCCATTGAAGAGGTCTTTGGGGAAGGAGTTCAGTGTAGGAGTTCTCCAGTTGGATCATAGGCATTAGAGCTCTCTCTGGTGGTTCCCCCTCCAACATCTCCCAACCACCTCTGGTACAGGAAAACTCTCTTTCCCCACGGTTCCTGCCAAAGTCCCAGGGAAGACTCTGATTGGCTGAGCTTGAGTCACAGCTCCATCTTGAACCAGTCCCCGTGGCTGAAATGGATGAAAGACTCTAGGTCACATGTCCACCCCAGCCTGGACTACAGTAGAATACTTAGGCAGGACTAGCCAGAGACAGAAAGTTGGCCATTATAAGGTGTGAGCTTACCATCCCCTGGGGAATGCAAGCTCCAATTGAAGTCCACTTAGTGTAAAGTTGTGAGATAAAACACAGGACACCCAGTTGAATTAGAATTTCAGATAAATTACACATAGCTTTTTAGCATATCTTTTTCCCATTTATTGGGCAGGATATATACTGAAACGGTATTCACTGTTTACCTGAAGTTAAATTTAACCAAGTGTCTGTATTAGTTTGGTAGGGCTGCCATAACAAAGTATCACAGAATGAGCAGTTTCAACAACAGAAATTTATTTCCTTATAGTTCTGGAGGCTAGAAGTCGAAGAGCAAGGTGTCAGCGGGTTTGCTTTCTTCCAGCATCTCTCTCCACATCTTGAAGATGGCACTTCTCTTTGTGTCCGTCTGTGATCCTCCCTCCTACATGTGTGCATACTAATCTCCTCTTCTTAGAATGACATCAGTCATATTGAATTAGGATCCACCCATAAAATCTCGTTTTACTTTAATACTTCTTCAAAGGCCTGAAATCCAAAAACAATCACATTCTGAAGTCCTGAGGGTGAGGATTTCAATTTACGAATTTTGAGAGAACACAATTCGGCCCATAACAGTGGCTGCTTTGGAAAGCAGTGTATTCGTTTTTTTTAAAAATTAAAACGAAGAGTTATAATAGGACTCAGGAATTCCACTCATAGGTATATACCCAAGAGACTTGAGAGTATAGTCCACACAAAAACTTGTACATGAATGTTCACAGCAGCACTATTCGCAATAGCCAAAAAGTGGAAAAACACAAATGTCCATTAATGGATGAATGTCTATCAATGCAATGAAATATTATTCAGCCATAAAAAGGAATGAACTAGTGGCATTTGCTGTAAAGTGGATAAATCTTGAAAACATCATGCTGTATGATGAAACCAGACATAAAAGACTACATTTTGTATGATTCCACTGATGTGAAATGTCCAAAACAGTCAAGTCCATAGAGACAGAAGGCAGATTAGTGGTTACCAGGGGCTGGGGAGGGAGAATGGGGAGTGGCTGTTCATCAGTCCAGGCTTTCTTTTAGGGGTGATGAAAGTGTTCTGGAACTAGATAATAGTGATGATTGCACAACTCTGTGAATATGCTTAAAAGCCACAGAATTGTATATACTAAAAAGGTGAATTTTATGGTAGGTGAACTACACATCAATTTCAAAATGCATATGATTAAAACAAATTTTGCCTTGGAGCCCTGTATTTTTGTGTGCTCAATCTGGCCACCATAATAACTTGCTAGGATCCTTCAGTACTTTTTCAGCGATTAGCAGGAGACCCTACTTAGGGTCCCCTCCAACCTGAGAACGTGCATGCTCAGGTCGAACAGTGGGGTAACCCAAGGAACTTGCAACAGCACAGACAGTGGGGTCCTAGTGAAACTGAGAATGTGGGTGCCATCTTGGTACTTTGGGCTTTTCCCAGCCTTCGTTTCCCTTCTGCAAAGTCAAGCTGAACAATTATCATCAGATACCTGTGAAAGGAAGTCCTCATGAGGCACTAAGCTGGGTGCCCAGTTGGCACTCAGCAAAAGGAGCCATCGTCGTAAAAGAAACTGATAATTTAAGTGGCTGCCTATTCTTGCAAATAAAGTTTTATTGAAACAAGGGCCAGGATTAGTGGGAGGCAGGG